TCACTACCTCACTCTTAATAGATAAGCCGATTAAACTTGTCTTCGTCTGTCCACGTCATCTCGTTTAAAATCCAAATATTTCAGTTAAGTTTAAAACTGCTGGACGAGGCTTTTGAAAGGTCGAACAGATCGAAGCAGATTCATCTGGCTCGGACTAAAGTAGTGACATGACGCTGAAACAAAGTTTTGTGAAAATCAATCAGTTGTTCGGGAGGGCGCACACACACACACGTCATAATATCACAAGTCCACGTGTAAGTGTGCGTTCATGAAAGTAGGACGAAGATCGTATCCTCTTGCGAAGCGGAAATCTTGATTAAACAATTTCTAACTAAATCAAAAACTCAAAATTCCATTGAATTAGGAAAGGAAACATATCTTTAGACGAAGCAAACTTTCTATGAAAACTTTCGTCAAATTTTCTCCGTTGCTATGCGATCGTAATTCCGCTCCCTGGCAACTTTTAATGCATAAAGCGATCGCCTCTAGTCAGAGGGAATACATTCATAAGATTTCGGTAACTTTGTTTTGGTCAGTGGGAGAAAATGTTTGTTGTAATAAGAATAATCGCTTTGGCCAAAGAATTTGTTAATCTGCGGGCTGACAGTGAAACTGTATTTCCGTGAATCGATTTAAAACGCCCGCATCACCGTTTTGCTCCATACGGGCTGGAAGATGTCGCAGTTTGCAGCAGCAAGTAATCTCGATCGATGGCTGCTCGAGCCACGCAGGTTCTGAAACTATATTTTATGGTGACCTAGTAATATTTCTCGGCAACACAAAAACGTGCTGATTTCCGGAACTAATTCGGTTTTCGAGGTCAGGGCGCATTTGAAAACAAGATAAGAATTACAAGCAGATGCAAATAATTTCATCCTACAATTAAAAATACTTCAGAATCCGCTTTCAAAGCTTTTGTCAAGGTTACAGAGTTAAAATATTTACACTTGGGATTGAACAGAGTATTTTGAGAAAAGGCAAGTTGTGTTAAAATTTAAATTATTAAAAGTATTTTTCCAGCTTTTATTCACAAGCTAACAGACGCTGATTTTGTCAAGGCATTCACCTTATGGACCCCATCATCTGCCAGAAGAAAATAATCAACACCCAAAATCCACATTCCTTTAGTATCCATTTTAATATTATCCTCCCTCCGCAACCTGTGGACGCGCCATGCCGTGCGATCCTTCGGGTTCCAAAGTAGCCAAGAATCTTTTTGATCAGCTAAGCGACCACAAGCGTCTTAAGAAGAACTCTGTTCCGTGGACTTACACGCATATTTAACGAGAGAACTACAAAAGTTTTTTTAAAAGCGTCAATCTTTTTTTTAAAACAAAACGCAGAGTGCATTTTGGTAATCTTCTTCCACTCTCTGTTTTCAGACGTAACATCTGAAGGCAAACAAACAGCCACCCTCCGTGGCAAAGGAAAATTGTTGTGCAATAAATGGTTCGTCATGAATTTGTGTTTGTCCTGTAAAAATGATGGAAATTTCCCGCACGCGAAACAAAGAAAACTTCATAGTCGCGGGTCTCAGGGAGAAGAGTCCTGGATACAGGAAAAGATTGTCCCTGATGTCAGCGAGGAGTGGATCCGGTGCAGACGAATGACAAGACGACACAACAAACATCCGGCCCTCTCATTCAAATTCGACACGTGGCAGACCATCGGGAAAACCTGTGTCCCTTGGATCCTTTACGTTTAAAATTATCTTAAAATTCCCTTCTTGGCCTCCCACCAAAAAAATCTGCATTTTATATCCGGGCATTCTCTGGTGAGATCGAACAGAGTACCTTCGGAAAGAAGTCCAGCTCTCGCTGGCCCTCAGTCTTTTACGAGAACTTAGCGACGAAACCTCCAGACCATGATTTCAAGTCAATGTACCAAAACAGATACAGCATTATTAAACAATCCTGAAACATAAAAAGAAATTTCTGAGAGAAAAATACAGAATTCTCTTGTGTGCTTCTCGTAACCTGCTCTTGGCATCGACAAGTTTTGGGAGTGGTCGTGGCCTACTTTAAGCATTTCTTCGGCGTCTTTATGAATAGTTTCGGGGTAGGATTCGAACTTGCTACGTCCGGACTCCGTGACACTTATCAGCGTTACTTCGTTGTTTGATTCAACACTGTATGAAATGATTCATAATCGCAAAACGAGCAACCAGACTTCCAGAGTTCACAGCGAACTAAGTATTATCAGACAAACTCGAAGATACATTTTTTACGATCTCCTTAAGACTTTCATCTTCAAACAAATAAATCTCATGACGAAAATCGACATGTAAAATTGCTCTATTGGACTTTGCCCATCGCCTAAATTATAAAATAATAAAATTACGACGTTTCGGAGGCTATACTCTGCTTCCGCCTTAAGGTAAGAAAGGGACGATGACGGAAACCCTATCTGTTCAGCCACTGGTTGAGCTACCCTGAGGCCAGCGAAACGTTTGCTGTCGTCTGCTCTCCAAAAACACGAACATTAAAATAAGAACTACGGAAAATGTTGTCTTTTGGTTCATGTGCCTGTGACGAAGCTTGAATTTTTGGTCCAGCTGCGTTTTAGACAAGATTACTCGGGAGGAGACCAACTGGAGACGCGGAGGTTACAAATCAGAATGTGCAATAAACGTTGTCACGTTATGTATGTGGGGCGTGGAGGCAAACCCTTAGAGCCGCGGTAAACTAAGGATAAAGACCGTGGAGATGTGCGCGACAGCTCCACGCATTCTCAGCCTCCGCACTCGAGTACCCACTGGCTGGGCCTCAGCACGACGGTGCCAATGTCGGGAATCCATCCCTGGTCGACCGGCCCACAGCCTCGGCTTTTAGTCGTGTTCACGCAAAAATTTACTTCAAGTTCTCCTGTGAAATGACGTCCTCTGGAGTCAGCCCTGGAAACTTTTCCCTCCATTTACGAATTTTAATAATTACGCCGGCGAAAATTGTCCTGAGAGCCCCCCTGCACTCTCAGCACGATGCACACCCCTCGAACAAAGACAGACGAAAGATTGTTCACCTTCTCGTAACAGTTCGCAGGCAGGAGCTTCCACGTAACGCGACTGGCCCGTGACCAGCGTTGCGTAACCATCTGTTTGGTTTGCCCGCTCACCAGAGACCTTCGTGAAGCCACTCTCACGTCGTTACAACTTCTGTCTCGCGATTCGCGAATAGCTACCGACCTGGGTGGAACGGGGTTTGGGGGCTCATCATTGGAGGAAGTTCAGATTGCGCTGTGCCCGGTAGTGAGACAGTGTGGTCCAGGAGGAGTTGGACATGCCGCAGACGAACCTACTACCGCCATCTTCAGTGCAGAAACGTAAAAAAACTATTGCTAAATATCTTAAACAACCTGTGGGTAGAGTTCCACGATAGCAATTCTTTTACATAATTATTTAAGACCTTGCAAGAAATGAATCTTCAGTTCAGAGACACACTAAAGAAACTTACTCTTTGGTGCCGAGTCCTTCCTGAGAAGCTGACAGTCGCTGAGCCACTCAAAAAATCCCCAACATTTTGTGGAACCCGAAGGTTCATTACATTGTCCACAAGAGCCCGCCACTGATCCCTGACCTGA